TGAAGTCATTGTAGTCAGTCTGGAGTCATTGTAGTTAGTCTGGAGTCATTGTAGTTAGTCTGGAGTCATTGTAGTTAGTCTGGAGTCATTGTAATCAGTCTGGAGTCATTGTAGTTAGTCTGGAGTCATTGTAGTTAGTTTGGAGTCATTGTAGTTAGTCTGGAGTCATTGTAGTTAGTCTGGAGTCATTGTAGTTAGTCTGGAGTCATTGTAGTTAGTTTGGAGTCATTGTAGTTAGTCTGGAGTCATTGTAGTTAGTCTGGAGTCATTGTAGTCAGTCTGGAGTCATTGTAATCAGTCTGGAGTCAATGTAGTCAGTCTGGAGTCATTGTAGTTAGTTTGGAGTCATTGTAGTTAGTCTGGAGTCATTGTAGTTAGTCTGGAGTCATTGTAATCAGTCTGGAGTCAATGTAGTCAATCTGGAGTCATTGTAGTTATTTTGGAGTCATTGTAGTTAGTCTGGAGTCATTGTAGTCAGTCTGGAGTCATTGTAGTTAGTTTGGAGTCATTGTAGTTAGTCTGAGAGTCATTGTATTTAGTCTGGAGTCATTGTAGTTAGTCTGGAGTCATTGTAGTTAGTTGGAGTCATTGTAGTTAGTCTGGAGTCATTGTAGTTAGTCTGGAAGTCATTGTAGTTAGTCTGGAGTCATTGTAGTTAGTCTGGAGTCATGTAGTCAGTCTGGAGTCATTGTAGTTAGTTTGGAGTCATGTAGTTAGTCTGGAGTCATTGTAGTTAGTCTGGAGTCATTGTAGTCAGTCTGGAGTCATTGTAGTTAGTTTGGAGTCATTGTAGTTAGTCTGGAGTCATTGTAGTTAGTCTGGAGTCATTGTAGTCAGTCTGGAGTCATTGTAGTTAGTTTGGAGTCATTGTAGTTAGTCTGGAGTCATTGTAGTTAGTCTGGAGTCATTGTAGTTAGTCTGGAGTCATTGTAGTTAGTCTGGAGTCATTGTAGTCAGTCTGGAGTCATTGTAGTTAGTTTGGAGTCATTGTAGTTAGTCTGGAGTCATTGTAGTTAGTCTGGAGTCATTGTAGTTAGTCTGGAGTCATTGTAATCAGTCTGGAAGTCAATGTAGTCAGTCTGGAGTCATTTGTAGAGTTTAGTTTTGGAGTCATTGTAGTTAGTCTGGAGTCATTGTAGACTTAGTCTAGAGTCATTGTAATCAGTCTGGAGTCAATGTAGTCAGTCTGGAGTCATTGTAATCAGTCTGGAGTCAATGTAGTTAGTCTGGAGTCATTGTAGTCAGTCTGGAGTCATTGTAGTCAGTCTGGAGTCATTGTAGTTAGTCTGGAGTCATTGTAGTTAGTCTGGAGTCATTGTAGTCAGTCTGGAGTCATTGTAGTCAGTCTGGAGTCAATGTAGTCAGTCTGGAGTCATTGTAGTCAGTCTGGAGTCATTGTAGTCAGTCTGGAGTCATTGTAGTTAGTTTGGAGTCATTGTAGTTAGTCTGGAGTCATTGTAGTTAGTCTGGAGTCATTGTAATCAGTCTGGAGTCAATGTAGTCAGTCTGGAGTCATTGTAGTTAGTTGGAGTCATTGTAGTTAGTCTGGAGTCATTGTAGTCAGTCTGGAGTCATTGTAGTTAGTCTGGAGTCATTGTAGTTAGTCTGGAGTCATTGTAGTTAGTCTGGAGTCATTGTAGTCAGTCTGGAGTCATTGTAGTCAGTCTGGAGTCATTGTAGTTAGTTTGGAGTCATTGTAGTTAGTCTGGAGTCATTGTAGTTAGTCAGGAGTCATTGTAGTTAGTCTGGAGTCATTGTAATCAGTCTGGAGTCAATGTAGTCAGTCTGGAGTCATTGTAGTTAGTTTGGAGTCATTGTAGCTAGTCTGGAGTCATTGTAGTTAGTCTGGAGTCATTGTAATCAGTCTGGAGTCAATGTAGTCAGTCTGGAGTCATTGTAATCAGTCTGGAGTCAATGTAGTCAGTCTGGAGTCATTGTAGTCAGTCTGGAGTCATTGTAGTCAGTCTGGAGTCATTGTAGTTAGTCTGGAGTCATTGTAGTTAGTCTGGAGTCATTGTAGTCAGTCTGGAGTCATTGTAGTTAGTCTGGAGTCATTGTAGTTAGTCTGGAGTCATTGTAGTTAGTCTGGAGTCAATGTAGTCAGTCTGGAGTCATTGTAGTTAGTCTGAAGTCATTGTAGTCAGTCTGGAGTCATTGTAGTTAGTCTGGAGTCATTGTAGTTAGTCTGGAGTCATTGTAGTTAGTCTGGAGTCATTGTAGTTAGTCTGGAGTCAATGTAGTCAGTCTGGAGTCATTGTAGTTAGTCTGGAGTCATTGTAGTTAGTCTGGAGTCATTGTAGTTAGTCTGGAGTCATTGTAGTTAGTCTGGAGTCATTGTAATCAGTCTGGAGTCAATGTAGTCAGTCTGGAGTCATTGTAATCAGTCTGGAGTCATTGTAGTCAGTCTGGAGTCAATGTAGTTAGTCTGGAGTCATTGTATTTAGTCTGGAGTCATTGTAGTTAGTCTGGAGTCATTGTAGTCAGTCTGGAGTCATTGTAGTTAGTCTGGAGTCATTGTATTTAGTCTGGAGTCATTGTAGTTAGTCTGGAGTCATTGTAGTCAGTCTGGAGTCATTGTAGTTAGTCTGGAGTCATTGTATTTAGTCTGGAGTCATTGTAGTTAGTCTGGAGTCATTGTAGTCAGTCTGGAGTCATTGTAGTTAGTCCATCAGTCCTTATAAAACTGATGGACTGACAACATCGACTCCAGACTAAGGGACCGATCACCTCACACTCCTGACTGCCACCATTCATCTCTGTACCGGACTGATGAATCCGCTGTGTGGAGACACATCTGGGCCGCCAAGTTTTGACAGCTGGTCAAATTACAGTAGTAATTACCCCACTTTCATGCTGATATCAGGTCATTAACATTAATTATCACTGCAAGACATAATTAGAGACTGATGAGTGCCAGTGAGTGCTGACACACATACAATTGTTCTGTGATACAGCTGTATTATACAATAGGAAGGTACTGAAGCATGACTGAGGTTAAGAGCGAGTCCTTGGGCGAGTCATGTCCCGTGGCTTGGTTGGTAGCGCACTTGCCTCACACACTCGGGTACGGGGGTCGATCCCCGGTACGGCTGGATATATTAAGATGTGTTTTCTTAAGATACCTGCTGTCAGTGTTCACCTAGCAGTAAGTAGGTACCTGGGTGTTACCTTACACCTGCTGTCAGTGTTCACCTAGCAGTAAGTAGGTACCTGAGTGCTAGCCACCTTACAACAGCTGCCAGTGTTCACCTAGCAGTAAGTAGGTACCTGGGTGTTACCTTACACCTGCTGTCAATGTTCACCTAGCAGTAAGTAGGTACCTTGGTGCTAGCCACCTTACACCAGCTGTCAGTGTTCACCTAGCAGTAAGTAGGTACCTGAGTGTTAGTCACCTTACACCTGCTGTCAGTGTTCACCTAGCAGTAAGTAGGTACCTGGGTGGTTAGTTACCTTACACCTGTGTCAGTGTTCACTAGCAGTAAGTAGGTACCTGGGTGTTAGTTACCTTACACCTGCTGTCAGTGTTCACCTAGCAGTAAGTAGGAACCTGGGTGTTAAGTCACCTTACACCTGCTGTCAGTGTTCACCTAGCAGCAAGTAGGTACCTGGGTGTTAGTTACCTTACACCTGCTGTCAGTGTTCACCTAGCAGTAAGTAGGTACCTGGGTGTTAGTTACCTTACACCTGCTGTCAGTGTTCACCTAGCAGTAAGTAGGTACCCGGGTGTTAGTTACCTTACACCTGTTGTCAGTGTTCACCTAGCAGTAAGTAGGTACCTGGGTGTTAGTTACCTTACACCATGCTGTCAGTGATTCCCTTAGCGTAAGTAGGTACCTGGGTGTTAGTCACCTTACACCTGCTGTCAGTGTTCACCTAGCAGTAAGTAGGTACCTGGGTGTGACCTTACACCTGCTGTCAGTGTTCACCTAGCAGTAAGTAGGTACCTAGGTGTTAGGTTAGTTAACGTTAAGTTTGGTTTGATTTGGTAAACTTAGGTAAGGTTAAGTTAGGTAAAATGAGGTAAACTTAGTTAGGTAAAGTTAAGTTAGATTATGTTAGCTTAGGTAAGGTAAAGTTAGGTTAAGTTAGGTAAGGTTAGGTTAAGTTAGGTAAGGTTAGGTTAAGTTAGGTAAGGTTAGGTTAAGTTAGGTAAGGTTAGGTTAAGTTAGGTTAAGTTAGGTAAGGTTAGGTTAAGTTAGGTTAAGTTAGGTAAGGTTAGGTTAAGTTAGGTTAGGTTAAGTTAGGTAAGGTTAGGTTAAGTTAGGTTAAGTTAGGTAATGTTAGGTAAAGTTAGGTTAAGTTAGGTAAGGTTAGGTTAAGTTAGGTTAAGTTAGGTAATGTTAGGTTAAGTTAAGGTTAAGTTAGGTTAAGTTAGGTAAGGTTAGGTTTAAGTTAGGTTAAGTTAGGTAAGGTTAGGTTAAGTTAGGTTAAGTTAGGTTAAGTTAGGTAAGGTTAGGTTAAGTTAGGTTAAGTTAGGTAAGGTTAGGTTAAGTTAGGTTAAGTTAGGTAAGGTTAGGTTAAGTTAGGTTAAGTTAAGTAATGTTAGGTTAAGTTAGGTTAAGTTAGGTTAAGTTAGGTAAGGTTAGGTTAAGTTAGGTTAAGTTAGGTAATGTTAGGTTAAGTTAGGTTAAGTTAGGTTAAGTTAGGTTAAGTTAGGTTAAGTTAGGTAAGGTTAGGTTAAGTTAGCTTAGTAAGGTGAAATTAGGTAAAGTTAAGTTTGGTTAAGTTAGATTAGGTTAAGTTAGCTTAGGTAAGGTGAAGTTAGGTCAAGTCAAGTTAGGTAAAGTTAGGTTAAGTTTATCAGGAAATAACACAAATATTTCCTGGTAATAAGTCACATTTTTATGCATAATTTATATATAATAATTATACACATATAAACGTCTATATAAACCAACAGACCCAGAGCTAGAGCTTCTGCTCACCTGACCGAGACCTTCCCCCGGCTCACCAAAAAAAAAATCACAACTTAATAATAACTTTTTTAAGGAAATAATCACCTGCCTGAAGATCATCCTGACTGTGACTGCCGTATTAATGTTCCTGTAGAGGAATGTGGGGGTCATGGGTGACCCCCACACCCCCACCAGCCGCCCACAGGCCGCCCACATCATTACCGCCCACAAAAAGTATATTGCCAAGTGTGTGGGAGACGATGCGGCCGGATATAATAACTTGGTCCGGGTCTCCCTATTTTAAGACCCAGATATTGTGTAAGATAATGATGGCTGGCAACTTCCTATAACGCTGTATTTTTTATTTATTTCTTTATGTTTGAGGCTTGTAAATGATGTATTAGTTATTATTTAAACGTTAATATTGTTTAATAAGGGTTTTATTGGGTTATAATTGGGTTTTTTGGGTAGTTTATTGGTGAAAAATATTCGTCTGCTGCGGTTGTTACATTCACCGCCCTCCTCTTATTTTTCACTTTTTAATTGAGGTAGTCTCATAAAATACTATTTTTAGGTATATTTTAATGTATAGTAATTGATGAGGTATATATTCAAATAAGTGAAGAGGCAAAAGATGCTTAAAATATATATTTTTAAGATAAAACAGCTGAGATGGGTAAAGTGCGTGATTGGAAGAGCCATATTTGTAAACACACAGCCAGGCCACCACGCTCAAAACCACCAAATTATCCACTATTTACTCTAATATCAACCAATACACCCACTTTCTCCTCACATCTTTATTAAATAACCCTAAAACATTATTTTAGTAATCAAAATAAATGAATATAAAAAGCATAAACACGAGTTTAAAAAATCAAAATAGTGAATGAGATCGTAGTGGCCTTGATGGGTTCCAGCTGATGGCCAGCGTTACTTCACAATACTACGCAGGCAGCACCACATCTCTCTTATTTCCTCTTTCATGTCTCCTGGTGAGTTACATTTCCCATTCTTCCAGCCACATCGACGTGGAATTTATCTCCCATCATCCCCACACCTGTTTGACCGTTGAGTAACGGATAAAAGTACAAATAAGGCATGAAATATGGCGGAGGGTCGCTGGAAGGTCGTATCAGATCCCATCACTAACAACATTAACGTTATATTTAACGTAATAAACGTATTTTAGTGACGTTAATCACAGTTAAAGTAAACGAGGAATGTTTCCAGTGTATCCTGGAGCCTCCAGACACAACCTCCATTAATGGCAAGTTATATAACAAAGGAAATATTGAGCTGTATCATCGTGTGTTGATGTAACAAAGATATTATTATTATTATTATTATTATTATTATTATTATTATTATTATTATTATTATCTGTAACATTATATAACATCTATGTTGTTATAACATCACTGTTATAACATCACTATGTTATAACATCACTGTTGTTATAACATCACTGTTGTTATAACATCACTGTTATAACATCACTGTTGCTATAACATCACTGTTGTTATAACATCACTGTTGTTATAACATCACTGTTGCTATAACATCACTGTTGCTATAACATCACTGTTGCTATAACATCACTGTTGTTATAACATCACTGTTGCTATAACATCACTGTTGCTATAACATCACTGTTGTTAATAACATCACTGTTGTTATAACATCACTGTTGCTATAACATCACTGTTGTTATAACATCACTGTTGCTATAACATCACTGTTGTTATAACATCACTATATTATAACATCACTGTTGTTTTAACATCACTGTTGTTATAACATCACTGTTGTTATAACATCACTGTTGTTATAACATCACTGTTGCTATAACATCACTGTTGTTATAACATCACTGTTGCTATAACATCACTGTTGCTATAACATCACTGTTGCTATAACATCACTGATGTTATAACATCACTGTTGTTATAACATCACTGTTGTTATAACATCACTGTTGCTATAACATCACTGTTGCTATAACATCACTGTTGTTATAACTCACTGTTTATAACATCACTGTTGTTATAACATCACTGTTGTTATAACATCACTGTTGTTATAACATCACTGTTGTTATAACATCACTGTTGTTATAACATCACTGTTGTTATAACATCACTGTTGTTATAACATCACTGTTGTATAAACATCACTGTTGTTATAACATCACTGTTGTTATAACATCACTGTTGTTATAACATCACTGTTGTTATAACATCACTGTTGCTATAACATCACTGTTATAACATCACTGTTGCTATAACATCACTGTTATAACACTGTTATAACATCACTGTTGTTATAACATCACTGTTATAACATCACTGTTGTTATAACATCACTGTTGTTATAACATCACTGTTGTTATAACATCACTGTTGTTATAACATCACTGTTATAACATCACTATGTTGTTATAACATCACTATGTTGTTATAACATCACTATGTTGTTATAACATCACTATGTTGTTATAACATCACTATGTTGTTATAACATCACTATGTTGTTATAACATCACTATGTTGTTATAACATCACTGTTATAACATCACTGTTGTTATAACATCACTGTTGTTATAACATCACTGTTGTTATAACATCACTGTTGTTATAACATCACTGTTATTATAACATCACTGTTATAACATCACTATGTTGTTATAACATCACTATGTTGTTATAACATCACTGTTATAACATCACTATGTTGTTATAACATCACTGTTATAACATCACTATGTTATAACATCACTGTTATAACATCACTATGTTGTTATAACATCACTGTTATAACATCACTATGTTGTTATAACATCACTGTTGTTATAACATCACTGTTGTTTTAACATCACTGTTGTTTTAGCATCACTGTTGTTATTAACATCACTGTTGCTATAACATCACTGTTATTATAACATCACTGTTGTTATAACATCACTGTTGTTATAACATCACTGTTGTTATAACATCTATGTTGCTATAACATCACTGTTGTTATAACATCACTGTTGTTTTAACATCACTGTTGTTTTAGCATCACTGTTGCTATAACATCACTGTTGTTATAACATCACTGTTGCTATAACATCACTGTTGTTATAACATCACTGTTGTTATAACATCACTGTTGTTATAACATCACTGTTGTTATAACATCACTGTTGCTATAACATCACTGTTGTTATAACATCACTGTTGCTATAACATCTATGTTGTTATAACATCACTGTTGTTATAACATCACTGTTGCTATAACATCACTGTTGTTATAACATCACTGTTGTTATAACATCACTGTTGTTATAACATCACTGTTGTTATAACATCTATGTTGCTATAACATCACTGTTGTTATAACATCACTGTTGTTATAACATCACTGTTGTTATAACATCTATGTTGCTATAACATCTATGTTGTTATAACATCACTGTTGTTATAACATCACTGTTGTTATAACATCACTGTTGTTATAAACATCACTGTTGTTATAACATCACTGTTGTTATAACATCACTGTTTGCTATAACATCTATGTTGTTATAAACATCACTGTTGTTATAACATCACTGTTGCTATAACATCACTGTTGCTATAACATCACTATGTTGTTATAACATCACTATGTTGTTATAACATCACTGTTGCTATAACATTACTGTTGTTATAACATCACTGTTGCTATAACATCACTGTTGTTATAACATCACTGTTGCTATAACATCACTGTTGTTATAACATCACTGTTGCTATAACATCACTATGTTGTTATAACATCACTGTTGTTATAACATCACTGTTGTTATAACATCACTGTTGCTATAACATCACTGTTGTTATAACATCACTGTTGCTATAACATCACTGTTGTTATAACATCACTGTTGCTAAAACATCACTGTTTGCTATAACATCACTGTTTGCTATAACATCACTGTTGTTATAACATCACTGTTGCTATAACATCACTGTTGCTATAACATCACTATGTTGTTATAACATCACTGTTGCTATAACATTACTGTTGTTATAACATCACTGTTGCTATAACATCACTGTTGTTATAACATCACTGTTGCTATAACATCACTGTTGTTATAACATCACTGTTGCTATAACATCACTATGTTGTTATAACATCACTATGTTGTTATAACATCACTGTTGTTATAACATGTATGTTGCTCTAACTATGGTGCTATAACATCACTGTTGTTATAACATCACTGTTGTTATAACATCACTGTTGCTATAACATCACTGTTGCTATAACATCACTGTTGTTATAACATCACTGTTGTTATAACATCACTGTTGTAACATCACTGTTGTTTTAACATCACTGTTGTTATAACATCACTGTTGCTATAACATCACTGTTGCTATATCATCTCTGTGTTATAGCAACAATCTCTCTTATGTATAACTTCAAAGTCAAGTCGAAGTTTTTTTCCACGCGATACATTGTTTATACGGAAATGGGTGATGATAATACATTTCAATGGCCATACCACGTTGAATGCTCCATCCTTGTCCGATCACTTTAGTGTGTCGGCCAAGTGCTCAACCAACCCAACTAAACGACACGTGAGTATTTTTTTTGACACATTGGCTGTATCTCACCGAGGCATTGACCTGGAAAAGAAAAACAAAAGTTTTTCCTTTTACCTTTTAGTAATTTATACAGAAGGGGTTACTAGCCCCTTGTTCCCGGCATTTTAGTCGCCTCTCATGACCCGCATGGCTTATGGAGGAGTAATTCTTTTCCACTTCCCCATGGAAATAAAGAAGAACTATTAAGAAAATAGAAAACTCAGACGAGTGTGTATATAAGAACATAAGAACGAAGGAACACTGCAGCAGGCCTACTGGCCCATGCGAGGCAGGTCCAAGTCTCCTACCGGCTTAAGCCAATGCACCCAACCTAGTCAGGTCAGGTACATATATATACATGTACGTTCATGTGTATTGTGACCTAAGTGTAAGTAGTAGTAGCAAGATATACCTGTACACATATAAGTATTGTATTTAAAGAAATATACTGATTGATCATGGTAGATTTAATTTGAAGTTTTATTGGATATTATGCCGTCATAATTTTCCCTGAAAATATATCATTATTTCCACAGCAAAATGCCAAGCTTACCGGAGGCAGTTGACATGAAGTATGGCGATGAATGCCCTAATGCACAAGTGACAGAAGTAGCATGTGTGGCACTTACCCTCAAACGCTCAGGTCGCCAAAGACTTCCTTCTGTACTTATTCTATCCGAGTGCGATATAGAGAAGGCAGGAGATGAAGAAGAAGTGGAAAGAAAATGCGAAGGTGTGCGAGAACTGGATTTATCGAGAAACAAACTCAAGGAATGGAAAGAGGTACAGTACAAAAAAGAAATTTTGTTAATCTAAATTTGATAGCTATTTAACATTCTATTTCTTGTTACTTGTTAGTGTTAGTTTTAATTTTCATTATTAGAGTTTTAATATGCATGTATATACATGTACAGTGGACCCCCATTTAACGATATTTTTTCATTCCAGAAGTATGTTCAGGTGCCAGTACTGACCGAATTTGTTCCCATAAGGAATATTGTGAAGTAGATTAGTCCATTTCAGACCCCCAAACATACACGTACAAACTCACTTACGTAAATACACTTACATAATTGGTCACATTGGGAGGTGATCATAAACCAGGGGTCCACTGTATATTGTTTCTGCATTACCTGTAACTTTACTTCTTGGTTTAAGAATAAAAAGGCACAATACCATGACTGGAAAATACACAAATAACCCACACATGGGAGAAACTAACTTACGACGATGTTTCGGTCCAACTTGAACCATTTACAAAGTCGCACTGAAACATCGTCATAAGCTCCCCTCTCCTTTGTGTGGGTTATTTGTGTTGTTCTTGGTTTTTTATATAGTCTAATGTTGTTAACCATTATCTAGACTAGTTTTGTGAATAAATGGTTTAGAGATCCTTGTGCAGCATTTGGGTTTGGAAATGTTTTGCCAGCCAGTGACTTCTTCAGTCTATTGCAGAGAAAGGTGGAAGATGAGGAGGAGTTTGAGGTAATCAGTCCCTGAGCCTGGAGTTCCTGTGTTGAGTCCAGTCAGGGAGGGGGGAAGGAGCTGGGTCTTCCCAAACACTTGAATTTTATGTCCAATTTGGGTCAAAGAAAAGTTTTTTACCAGGATTTTTGCACATAACTTGACACTTTTATGCTTTACTGTTTGCAATATCCACGATCTTTAGTGTGCTATGAAATTCTGGATGCACTTTTCCAATTGCGTATTATACCAAATCATACTGTGTGGTGCTTCGTTATAAGAGAGTTTACGTATATATACATAAGTATATATACATATATGCAAGTACAGTATATATACTGTATTTTTTTTTTTATTAACACACTGGCCGATTCCCACCAAGGCAGGGTGGCCCGAAAAAGAAAAACTTTCACCATCATTCACTCCATCACTGTCTTGCCAGAAGGGTGCTTTACACTACAGTTTTTAAACTGCAACATTAACACCCCTCCTTCAGAGTGCAGGCACTGTACTTCCCATCTCCAGGACTCAAGTCCGGCCTGCCGGTTTCCCTGAATCCCTTCATAAATGTTACTTTGCTCACACTCCAACAGCACGTCAAGTATTTAAAACCATTTGTCTCCATTCACTCCTATAAAACACGCTCATGCATGCCTGCTGGAAGTCCAAGCCCCTCGCACACAAAACCTCCTTTACCCCCTCCCTCCAACCTTTCCTAGGCCGACCCCTACCCTGCCTTCCTTCCACTACAGACTGATACACTCTTGAAGTCACTCTGTTTCGCTCCATTCTCTCTACATGTCCGAACCACCTCAACAACCCTGTACTTGCATTTAATATGAAGCTGGAGCCATTTTCTGAGGCAGGGCGACCTGAAAAAGAAGAAACGCTGTCATCATCACTCCATCACTGTCTTGCTAGTATTGGTATGCCTCTTGCAAGACAGTGATGGAGTGAGTGATGATTAAAGTGTTTCTTCTTTCACGGGTCATCCTGCCTTGGTGGAAAACGGCCGATGTGTTAAAGAAAACATAGGCCTCAGAGTGAAGTTGAAGCCATCTGTGAGTGATTGTTGAATATCTATTTGTTGTGTCCCCTCAAGGAAGGTTCCTTGATGCTGGTGAGGGGCTCTTGATCTAGGGAATTGGATCTGTGCTCCAGTTCCCTGAATTAAGCCTGAATACCTTCCATCCTCCTCCCTACGGGCTCTGTATAACCCCCATGAACTTAGCACTCCCCTATGATTATAATTATCTCTGTTGTGAGAACATCCTAGTAATAATAATGTATTCTTTCCCATCAGGTATTCAAAATACTACGACACTTACCATCTCTGGGATTTCTTAACCTAAGTTACAACTCTTTTGAAACCCCTATACCCGATCCTTCAGAAGTGGTCAGTCTCACAAACTTAACTCGGCTGGTTCTCAATGGAACCAAACTTCCTTGGAAGGATGTTCATATTCTTCTAGAAAATGCACCAAGGTAATGTTATAAATATATAAATATTTTATTTTTAATGACTGTCGGGTAAAACGAATTTCCAGTTTTTGTGATGTAAAATGAATTCCCCTTTTTTATGATGCAAGGTAAAATGAATACACTTTTTTTTTATGATGAATATTCTTGAAAGTTAAAGTATTTCTTACTCTCTTTAAAAAAAATGTTTCGTAGTCGTATTTTTCAAACGTTTTATGATTTGAAATATACTACGTACAATAATTTGGTGATGGCATTGGTTTCAGTAAAACCTCAAGTTGGTGGGAGACGGCCACCATGTAAAAAAAAAAAAAAATGGAAAAAGAGACAAATGCAGTATAGTGCAATCCTTTATTAACAACATTTCACCCAGACCATACCATGGGCAGGGATTGAACCGTTGTGAGCGAGTTGCAAAACTCCAGGCCAGCTTTTAAGTGGGATTTATCACTCACTGTGTGAGCAAAGCCTTGTTAACCCTTTCAGGGTTCGTCCCGTAGATCTACGGCTTTACGTTCAGGGTCCAAACCGTAGATCTACGTCATGAGCTCAGCTCACTCTGATAAACTGTGAGTGGTACATTTGGGTCTAGATATGAGAGAATACATCTATGTGGTATGTGTGCACCACATAAAACAAATCCTGCAGCACACTGTGTATAATGAGAGAAAAAAACTGAGACCATGATTTTCGATTAAAACAGCAACTTTGCAGTGTTTTTTTCGTATGTTTTTTATAGTTGTATTTGCGATTTCTTGGTCTCATTTGATAGAATGAAAGACATATTACAGAAATAGAGATGATTTTGATTGGTTTTAGCACTGGAAATGGCTTGAAACTGAGCTCAAAGTAGCGGAAATGTTAAATTTTTGCCGATGTTCAAGAGTCAACAAACGACCTCGCACGTCTAATACACGCCAGCTGGTGGGTCTAATATACATTCACAAATGTGGTGATGATATTTATGCAATTATTACAATATTGCATAACAGTAAATCTTCTATTTTTTGGTGTGAATAAAAATTCATTATGTGAATAAAAAATCAAAATGGAATTTATTTGTAAAGCCTCAAAACATAACTAATGAACAGAGGAAATGTTAGTTTAGTGCCAGGAATACCTACATTGTTTATTCTGGACCCTATTTTGAAATTGGAATATTTTGAACTTTGTGTTAAATTGGCCAAATTACCAAATTCCGATCACTTTATTTTGTAGTTGAAACAGTTGATTTGGCTATTTCTTGTGCTCAATCGATAGAATAGAAGTAATACTAGTGAAATAGCTAAGAATTTGGTCGACTGGAATAACGTAATTGGCCTAAAATGGGAGTCAAACTCGGCAAAATCGCCGATTCGTAAATATCGCCGACACTTCAAAATTCACGAGAGCATAATTTTGTCAGTTTTCCATCAAATTTCGTACTTTTTGTTTTATTACCTTCACAGAAAGATTCTCTATCATTTCATAAGAAAAAATAACAAATTTTTTTTTTTTGAAAATTCTTGGACACTGGGGCACCACTTCAGATTACTACTCTGAGGAACTCAAATGTCTCTCAAATGACCTAATGTCTCACCCCAAGGAGATAAAATACGCACTTCAGATTTTGGCCTTGGACCCTGAAGGAGTTAAATACAGCATCACAGTACATATGCTGGATTTTTTATTTTTGTCTCTCTAAAATTTCAGAAAATAATGACTGCTATCATGTTTACAAGTACTGTACATACCCATTTGTATTTACCAATTTGTACTCATAAAATCCGAGCAGCGGTCTGTCATAATTATTATTCATTTGAAATTATAAAATCCGAGCAGCAGTCTGTCATAATTATTATTCATTTGAAATTTTCTTACCCAGGATGTAAGCTACAACAGGTATCTGTCTACTGCAAAGCCAAGAGGTATATACCTTAACAAAAAGATACAATACTGTGAGTGGAACAATACACAAAGAACCCGCACATAGAGAGAACGTTTTGGTCCGACTTGGACCATTTACAAAGTCACACTAACACAGAAGAGTGAGGGAGGCAGTATATATAGGTGAGGGGGATAGGGACGAGACAAAGAACAAAAGAAGGTCTTCTTCTTTCAACAAACTGGCTGTATCCCAACAAGGCGGGATGACCCAGAAAGAAAAACAAAAGTTTCTTTTTTTAATTTTAGTAATGTATACAGAAAGACGGGTTACTAGCCCCTTGCTCCCAGCATTTTAGCCGCCTCTTATGACATGCATGACTTACAGGAAGAATTCTGCTCCACTTCCCCATGGAGAGAAAGAAGGTATATATACCTTTTATCTTTGATGAGTTTCGAGAGTTTTCCCCCACTCAGAGCCCGGCCATGGGCCAGGCTTGACTGGTTCTAGCCTGGTCAGCTAGGCTGTTGGTGCTGGTGGCCTGCTGACCCACATATCCATCACAACCAGGTTAATCTGGCAAATGTAAGAAGACCTATTGATACATCTTGCCACACAAATAACCTGCACATAGAAGAGAGGAGCTTATGACGATGTTTTGGTCCAACTTGGATCTACAAAGTCACACTGCGGGTTATTTGTGTATCGTTCCAGTCACGGAATTGTGCCTTTTTTTGTTATTTGTTATACATCTTACTGTGATGGGGATCAGATTTTTAATTGTGTGACAGTTGCTCTGACCCCTGAATCACAGGTCACCAGTGTTTGTATACAGGCAGGCCCCACTTATACAGGAGGTTAGGTTCCAGGCTACTGTAGGGCCCCAATTATACAGCAGGTTAGGTTCCAGGCTACTGTAGGGCCCCAATTATACAGCAGGTTAGGTTCCAGGCTACTGTAGGGCCCCACTTATACAGCAGGTTAGGTTCCAGGCTACTGTAGGGCCCCAATCATACAGCAGGTTTGGTTCCAGGCTACTGTAGGGCCCCACTCATACAGCAGGTTAGGTTCCAGGCTACTGTAGGGCCCCAATTATACAGCAGGTTAGGTTCCCGGCTACTGTAGGGCCCCACTTATACAGCAGGTTAGGTTCCAGGCTACTGTAGGGCCCCAATTATACAGCAGGTTAGGTTCCAGGCTACTGTAGGGCCCCAATTATACAGCAGGTTAGGTTCCAGGCTACTGTAGGGCCCCAATTATACAGCAGGTTAGGTTCCAGGCTACTGTAGGGCCCCAATTATACAGCAGGTTAGGTTCCAGGCTACTGTAGGGCCCCAATTATACAGCAGGTTAGGTTCCAGGCTACTGTAGGGCCCCACTTATACAGCAGGTTAGGTTCCAGGCTACTGTAGGGCCCCACTTATACAGCAGGTTAGGTTCCAGGCTACTATAGGGCCCCACTCATACAGCAGGTTAGGTTCCAGGCTACTGTAGGGCCCCACTTATACAGCAGGTTAGGTTCCAGGCTACTGTAGGGCCCCACTTATACAGCAGGTTAGGTTCCAGGCTACTGTAGGGCCCCACTTATACAGCAGGTTTGGTTCCAGGCTACTGTAGGGCCCCACTCATACAGCAGGTTAGGTTCCAGGCTACTGTAGGGCCCCAATTATACAGCAGGTTAGGTTCCAGGCTACTGTAGGGCCCACTTATACAGCAGTTAGGTTCCAGGCTACTGTAGGGCCCCACTTATACAGCAGGTTAGGTTCCAGGCTACTGTAGGGCCCCACTTATACAGCAGGTTAGGTTCCAGGCTACTGTAGGGCCCCACTTATACCGCAGGTTAGGTTCCAGGCTACTGTAGGGCCCCACTTATACAGCAGGTTAGGTTCCAGGCTACTGTAGGGCCCCACTTATACAGCAGGTTAGGTTCCAGGCTACTGTAGGGCCCCACTCATACAGCAGGTTAGGTTCCAGGCTACTGTAGGGCCCCACTCATACAGCAGGTTAGGTTCCAGGCTACTGTAAGGCCCCACTCATACAGCAGGTTAGGTTCCAGGCTACTGTAGGGCCCCACTTATACAGCAGGTTAGGTTCCAGGCTACTGTAGGGCCCCACTTATACAGCAGGTTAGGTTCCAGGCTACTGTAGGGCCCCACTTATACAGCAGGTTAGGTTCCAGGCTACTGTAGGGCCCCACTTATACAGCAGGTTAGGTTCCAGGCTACTGTAGGGCCCCACTTATACAGCAGGTTAGGTTCCAGGCTACTGTAGGGCCCCACTTATACAGCAGGTTAGGTTCCAGACAACTGATGTAAAATGAAAATTGCACTGAAGTGAAACATAGCCTTTTCTCACTATCAAATGCAGATGAAATCCTAATAACATGTTTACACTATCATATATTAAGTGAGCAATGGAGCTAGGACTAAAAAATGCATATACAGTACACTTTCTTTCAACACATCGGCCATATCCCACCGAGGCGGGGTGGCCCAAAAGGGAAAACAAAAGTTTCTCCTTTTACATTTAGTAATATATACAGGAGAAGGGGTTACTAGCACCTTGCTCCTGGCATTTTAGTCGCCTCTTACAACACGCATGGCTTACGGAGGAAGAATTCTGTACCACTTCCCCATGGAGATAAGAGGAAATAGACAAGAACAAGAACTAGAAAGAAAATACAAGAAAACCCAGAGGGGTATGTATATATATATATAGGCTTGTACATGTATGTCCAGTGTGACCTAAGTGTAAGTAGAAGTAGCAAGACGTACCTGAAATCTTGCATGTTTATGAGACAGACAAAAGACACCAGCAATCCTACCATCATGTAAAACAATTACAGGCTTTTGTTTTACACTCACTTGGCAGGACGGTAGTACCTCCCTGGGCGGTTGCTGTCTACCAACCTACTACCACAGGACGGTAGTACCTCCCTGGGTGGTTGCTGTCTACCAACCTACTACCACAGGACGGTAGTACCTCCCTGGGTGGTTGCTGTCTACCAACCTACTACCACAGGACGGTAGTACCTCCCTGGGCGGTTGCTGTCTCAAAATATTTTTATGCTTAGCTAATAGCAAGTGGTGAATGTATTTATTGTAGGAAGTCTGAATGAATAAAGAGTGTGTATTATTGAAAACCACTGTATTAGTGAAACGCTGTAAAGCTGGTTGTTCCTGCCTGCATGTGTAAGGACATTGGGCACTTTTTTGAGTCGCCGCCTAGTTTGCTAGCCTTTCTTAATCGTGTTTTTATTATTTTTTTTCAGAGTAGAAGAATTACATCTATGTAAAAATGGCTATGTGACGGTAGAGACAACTTCCCAGAAATATTCTTCAGTCAGTCGAGTTCACTTCAACAACAATCCTAGTACAGACTGGCCAGAGGTACGGTATTTTACTTTATGTAATGTGAGAGATAGCCAGACTTGAGTGGTGGAGGTGGGAAGTACGGTGCCTACACTAATAATAATAATAATAATTTATTATTTCTACAAGTACATGTACAGGCCTAGCTGACATCAATGACATACTACTATATAGAAAGCCCCTTGTTATGCTTAGCATTTCAGGCAAATTAGGTCAGGTTTGTCCCAGGATGTGACCCACACCAGTCCACTAACACCCAGGATGTGACCCACACCAGTCCACTAACACCCAGGCACCCATTTTACTGATGGGTAAACATAGACAACCGGTGTAAGGAAACGCATCCAATGTTTCAAACGTGGACTCTCACTGTGTGAAACAAGAGCTTTTGCACATAGAAAAAATCCTGTGACGACATTTCAGTCCTACTAATTAGTGGTCTAAGTCAGACCAAAATGTCATCATAAGCTTCTTTCTCCTATGTGTGGGTTATTTGTGTATTGCATTGTGGTGTTTGTGCACGTCTGGATAAATTATTATTGAATGAATGATAGTGAATGTGTTTTCTTTTTTGGGTCACACTACCTTTGTGGAAAATGGCTGTTATGTTAAAATCATTAGCCGATCAGTGAAAACCTCAGTTGAGGATGATTGTGTCCTGTTGCTCAATTGGTAGTGCACTCAGCTCACACACTGAGTGCCATGGTTTGATCCCTGGTACAGGGTGGAAGCATTAGGATGTGTTTCCTTAAAGCACCTACTGTCCATGTTCACCTAGCAGTAAATAGGTAACCTGGGTGTTAGTCAACTAGTGAGGGGTTGCATCATGGGGACAAAATTTACCTAATTAGCCTGAAATGTTCTGCATAACAAGTGACTTTCTATACAGTATGTCATTGACATCAGCTATGGTCTGTATACATTGTACATGTACTGGTAGAAATAAAGATTATTCTTCTTTCTTTCAACATACCAGCCGTATCCCACCGAGGTGGGGTGGCCCAAAAGAAAAAACTAAAGTTTCTCCTTTTAAATTTAATAATATATACAGGAGAAGGGGTTACTAGCCCCTTGCTCCCGGCATTTTAGTCGCCTCTTATGACACGCATGGCTTATGGAGGAAGAATTCTGTTCCACTTCCCCATGGAGATAAGAGGAAATAAACAAGAACAAGAGTTAGAAAGAAAATAGAAGAAAACCCAGAGGGGTGTGTATATATATGCTTGTACATGTACATGTAGTGTGACCTAAGTGTAAGTAGAAGTAGCAAGACCTACTTGTAATCTTGCATATTTATGAGACAGACAAAAGACACCAGCAATCCTACCATCATGTAAAACAATTACAGGCTTTCGTTTTACACTCACTTGGCAGGACGGTAGTACCTCCCTGGGTGGTTGCTGTCTACCAACCTACTACCACAGGATGGTAGTACCTCCCTGGGTGGTTGCTGTCTACCAACCTACTACCACAGGACGGTAGTACCTCCCTGGGTGGTTGCTGTCTACCAACCTACTACCACAGGACGGTAGTACCTCCCTGGGTGGTTGCTGTCTACCAACCTACTACCACAGGACGGTAGTACCTCCCTGGGTGGTTGTTGTCTACCAACCTACTACCACAGGACGGTAGTACCTCCTGGGTGGTTGTTGTCTACCAACCTACTACCACAGGACGGTAGTACCTCCCTGGGTGGTTGTTGTCTACCAACCTACTACCACAGGACGGTAGTACCTCCCTGGGTGGTTGCTGTCTACCAACCTACTACCACAGGACGGTAGTACCTCCCTGGGTGGTTGCTGTCTACCAACCTACTACCACAGGACGGTAGTACCTCCCTGGGTGGTTGTTGTCTACCAACCTACTACCACAGGACGGTAGTACCTCCCTGGGTGGTTGCTGTCTACCAACTACTACCACAGGACGGTAGTACCACCCTGGGTGGTTGCTGTCTACCAACCTACTACCACAGGACGGTAGTACCTCCCTGGGTGGTTGTTGTCTACCAACCTACTACCACAGGACGGTAGTACCTCCCTGGGTGGTTGCTGTCTACCAACCTACTACCACAGGACGGTAGTACCTCCCTGGGTGGTTGCTGTCTACCAACCTACTACCAAGGACGGTAGTACCTCCTGGGTGGTTGCTGTCTACCAACCTACTACCACAGGACGGTAGTACCTCCCTGGGTGGTTGCTGTCTACCAACCTACTACCACAGGACGGTAGTACCTCCCTGGGTGGTTGCTGTCTACCAACCTACTACCACAGGACGGTAGTACCTCCCTGGGTGGTTGCTGTCTACCAACCTACTACCACAGGACGGTAGTACCTCCCTGGGTGGTTGTTGTCTACCAACCTACTACCACAGGACGGTAGTACCTCCCTGGGTGGTTGCTGTCTACCAACCTACTACCACAGGACGGTAGTACCTCCCTGGGTGGTTGCTGTCTACCAACCTACTACCACAGGACGGTAGTACCTCCCTGGGTGGTTGTTGTCTACCAACCTACTACCACAGGACGGTAGTACCTCCCTGGGTGGTTGCTGTCTACCAACCTACTACCACAGGACGGTAGTACCTCCCTGGGTGGTTGCTGTCTACCAACCTACTACCACAGGACGGTAGTACCTCCCTGGGTGGTTGCTGTCTACCAACTACTACCACAGGACGGTAGTACCTCCCTGGGTGGTTGCTGTCTACCAACCTACTACCACAGGACGGTAGTACCTCCCTGGGTGGTTGCTGTCTACCAACCTACTACCACAGGACGGTAGTACCTCCCTGGGTGGTTGCTGTCTACCAACCTACTACCACAGGACGGTAGTACCTCCCTGGGTGGTTGCTGTCTACCAACCTACTACCACAGGACGGTAGTACCTCCTGGGTGGTTGCTGTCTACCAACCTACTACCACAGGACGGTAGTACCTCCCTGGGTGGTTGCTGTCTACCAAACCTACTACCACAGGACGGTAGTACCTCCCTGGGTGGTTGCTGTCTACCAACCTACTACCACAGGACGGTAGTACCTCCTGGGTGGTTGTTGTCTACCAACCTACTACCACAGGATGGTAGTACCTCCCTGGGTGGTTGCTGTCTACCAACCTACTACCACAGGACGGTAGTACCTCCCTGGGTGGTTGCTGTCTACCAACCTACTACCACAGGACGGTAGTACCTCCCTGGGTGGTTGCTGTCTACCAACCTACTACCACAGGACGGTAGTACCTCCCTGGGTGGTTGCTGTCTACCAACCTACTACCACAGGACGGTAGTACCTCCCTGGGTGGTTGTTGTCTACCAACCTACTACCACAGGATGGTAGTACCTCCCTGGGTGGTTGCTGTCTACCAACCTACTACCACAGGACGGTAGTACCTCCCTGGGTGGTTGCTGTCTACCAACCTGCTACCTACAATAAAGATTTGTAGATGAATGGTTCAGAGAACCGACATGTTGATAAATTAGACACATGTGCAACTCTTGAGTAGCACATGTGTCTAATTTATCAACAATAAAGATCATTATGATTGTTATATAGTAGATGACCTTTGCTTTATGCGACAGATGCGTTCCAACCATTGGTGCAAGCATAGTGAAATGTTGCAACACTTGCAAATTCCACATTTGATTTATGAATGCTCTTGTGTGAATCTGCTCAAAAACAGCTGAGAATTGTTGGGTAAAAGTAGAGCCTACAGAGCATGGGCCAGTAGGCCTACTGCAGTTCTCCAATGTTCTTTAGGAAAGAATGGTGTAGCAATAGAGTTGTATATGAGTGGGAATAGTTGGGAAGAGTAGGACTAGCCTAATACTGGCCAGTAGGCCTCTTGTAATGACTTGTCAACATAAGTCAGTTGAGTGATGAAAGGATTTGGTTAAAAATACTGTAAGTGAATTTTTTTTTTTTTTTTTTTTTTTTTTTTCAACAAGTCGGCCGTCTCCCACCGAGGCAGGGTGACCCAAAAAAGAAAGAAAATCCCCAAAAAGAAAATACTTTCATCATCATTCAACACTTTCACCACACTCGCACATTATCACTGTTTTTGCAGAGGTGCTCAGAATACAACAGTCTAGAAGCATACACATATAAAGATACACAACATATCCCTCCAAACTGCCAATATCCCAAACCCCTCCTTTAAAGTGCAGGCATTGTACTTCCCATTTCCAGGACTCAAGTCCGACTATATGAAATATAACCGGTTTCCCTGAATCCCTTCACTAAATATTACCCTGCTCACACTCCAACAGATCGTCAGGTCCCAAGTACATTCGTCTCCATTCACTCCTATCTAACACGCTCACGCACGCTTGCTGGAAGTCCAAGCCCCTTACCCACAAAACCTCCTTTACCCCCTCTCTCCAACCCTTTCGAGGACGACCCCTACCCCGCCTTCCTTCCCCTATAGATTTATATGCTTTCCATGTCATTCTACTGTGATCCATTCTCTCTAAATGACCAAACCACCTCAACAACCCTCTTCTGCCCTCTGACTAATACTTTTATTAACTCCACACCTTCTCCCAATTTCCACACTCCGAATTTTCTGCATAATATTTACACCACACATTGCCCTTAAACAGGACATCACCACTGCCTCCAACCGTCTCTCGCTGCTGCATTTACCAACCAAGCTTCACACCCATATTAAGAGTGTTGGTACTACTATACTTTCATACATTCCCTTCTTTGCCTCCATAGATAACGTTTTTTGACTCCACATATACCTCAACGCACCACTCACCTTTTTTCCCTCATCAATTCTATGATTAACCTCATCCTTCATAAATCCATCCGCCGACACGTCAACTCCCAAGTATCTGAAAACATTCACTTCTCCATACTCCTCCTCCCCAATTTGATATCCAATTTTTCTTTATCTAAATCATTTGACACCTATCACCTTACTCTTTTTCTATGTTCACTTTCAACTTTTACCTTTACACACATTCCCAAATCATCACTAACCTTTGCAATTTTTCTTTAAAAATCTCCCATAAGCACAGTATCATCAGCAAAAAGTAACTGTGTCAATTCCCATTTGAATTTGATTCCCCATAATTTAATCCCACCCCTCTCCAAACACCTGCATTTACTTCCTTTACAACCCATCTATAAATATATTAAACAACCATGGTGACATTACACATCCCTGTCTAAGACTACTTTTACCGGGAAGTAGTCTCCCTCTCTTCTACACACCCAAACCTGAGCCTCACTATCCTCATAAAAACTCTTTACAGCATTATAACTTACCACCTATTCCATATACTTGCAACATCTCCCACATTGCTCCTCTATCCACTCTATCTATGCTTTTCTAAATCCATAAATGCAATAAAAAACTTCCCTATCTTTATCTAAATACTGTTCACATATATGCTTCAATGTAAACACCTGATCTACACATCCCTACCCACTCTAAAACCTCCTTGCTCATCCGCAATCTACATTCTGTCTTACCTCTAATTCTTTCAATTATAACCCTACCGTACACTTTTCCTGGTATACTCAGTAAGCTTATTCCTCTATAATTTTTACAGTCTCTTTTGTCCCCTTTCCCTTTATATAAAGGGACTATACATGCTCTCTGCCAATCCCTAGGTACCTTCCCCTCTTTCATACATTTATTAAACAAAAGTACCAACCACTCCAACACTATATCCCCCCCTGCTTTTAACATTTCTGTCATGATCCCATCAGTTCCAGCTGCTTTACCCCCTTTCATTTTACGTAATGCCTCACGTACCTCCCCCACACTTACATTCTGCATTTATACCACATATAACTTGAGCCCTGGAAGTGGGAAATACAGTTCCTGCACTCTGAAGGAGGGGTTGGGGTATTTGCTCTTGGGAGAGACATCTAAAGTGTCGTATCTGCATGCCTCTGGCAAGACGGTGATGGTGTGAATGATGGTGAAAGTGTTTCTTTCTCGAGTCACTCTTCGCCGTGGTATAAAAGAAATTCATAACCTTGTATTCAACAAAATTAATAAAATTACATTAATAAAAAATATTGGTATAAGTAGGGTCATAGTGTACAGTGGACCCTCAACCAGCGATATTAATCCGTTCCTGAGAGCTCATCGTTAGTCAAAATAATCGTTAGTCAAGTTAATTTTCCTCATAAGAAATAATGGAAATCAAATTAATCCGTGCAAGAAACCCAAAAGTATTGAAAAAAAATTTTTTTACCACATGAAATATTAATTTTAATACACACAAACTGAAGATTACATGCACAGTTACATGACACTTACCTTTATTGAAGATCTGGTGATGATTGATGGGATGGGAGGAGGGGAGACCGTTGATCTTCTTAGTGTTTAGAAGGGGAATCCCCTTCCATTAGCACTTGAGGCAGCAAGTCTTTTTCTGGGGTTACTTCCCTTGTTCTTTTAATGCCACTAGGACCAGCTTGAGAGTCATTGGACTTCTGTTGCACAACATATCTGTCCATAGATACCTGTACCTCTCATTCCTTTATGACTTTCCTAAAGTGGTTCACAACATTGTCAGTGTACAGGTTGCCAACACGGCTTGCAGTAGCTGTATGAGGGTGATTTTCATCAAAAAAGGTTTGCACTTTAAGCCACATTGCACAGATTTCCTTAATCTTAGAAGTAGGCAACTTCTTCAATTTCTCTCTCCCCTCCTCCGAAGCAGTTTCCTCAGGTCTGGCCTCTTGCTGTTGAAGTTGATCTATCAGCTCATCAGTGGTTAGTTCTTCATTGTCCTCCTCCACCAACTCTTCCACATCCTCCCCACTAACCTCCAACCCCAAGGACTTCCCCAATGCCACAATGGATTCCTCAACTGGCATAGGATTCTCAGGGTTAGCCTCAAACCCTTCAAAATCCCTTTTGTCTACACATTCTGGCCACAGTTTTTTCCAAGCAGAGTTCAATGTCCTCTTAGTCACTTCCTCCCAAGCCTTACCTATAATGTTTACACAATTGAGGATGGTAAAATGATCTTTCCAAAACTCTCTTAGAGTCATTGAGTTTCTGAGGTCACTACAAAGCACCTTTCAAACATAGCTTTTGTGTACAGTTTCTTGAAGTTGGAAATAACCTGCTGGTCCATGGGCTGCAGGAGAGGAGTGGTATTAGGAGGCAAAAACTTCACCTTAATGAAGCTCATGTCCTAGAAAGTCGCTCTGCCACATCTGTAGGATTGACCAGGGGCATTGTCTAATCCCAGGAGGCACTTAAGGTCTAATTTCTTTTCAATTAGGTAATTTTTCACATCGGGGGCAAATGCATGGTGTAACCAGCCATAGAAAAAGTCCCTAGTGACCCATGCCTTACTGTTTGCCCTCCACAGCACACACAAATTAGCCTTGAGGACATTGTTTTTCCTGAACACTCTGGGAGTTTCAGAGTGATACACCAATAAAGGCTTCACTTTGCAATCACCACTAGCATTGGCACACATCAACAAAGTAAGCCTGTCTTTCATAGGCTTATGTCCTGGGAGTGCCTTTTCCTCCTGAGTAATGTACGTCCTGCTTGGCATTTTCTTCCAAAACAGGCCTGTTTCGTCACAATTAAACACTTGTTCAGGTTTCAGTCCTTCACTATGTACTCCTTGAAGTCCTGCACATATTTTTCAGCTGCTTTGTGGTTCGAACTGGCAGCCTCACCATGCCTTATCACACTATGAATGCCACTACGCTTCTTAAATCTCTCAAACCAACCTTTGCTGGCCTTAAATTCACTCACATCACTAGTTGCTGGCATTTTTTTAATTAAATCGTCATGCAACTTCCTAGCCTTTTCACATATGATCGCTTGAGAGATGCTGTCTCCTGCTATCTGTTTCTCGTTTATCCACACCAATAACAGTCTCTCAACATCTTCGAGTACTTGCGATCTCAGTTTCGAAACATAGTTGCACCTTTGGCAAGAACAGCTTCCTTGATTGCCGTTTTCTTGCCCACAATAGTAGCGATGGTTGATTGGGGTTTATTATACAACCTGGCCAGCTCAGAGATACGCACTCCACTTTCATATTTATCAATGATCTCTTTCTTCATCTCCATAGTAATTCTCACCCTTTTTGCTGTAGGGTTGGCACTAGAAGCTTTCTTGGGGCCCATGGTGACTTATTTTGCAGGTGCAATCACTAAAAAGGCTGTGATAATATGAAATGTTCCAGTTGTATGTTTGGAAGCTACCGCGGTGGCTGGCTGGCTTGTAAACACTGGCACCAAAGGGACAAGTGAGGCGCGCTCAGGCCAAAGTGGACGCGTATGGTACGGAACGAAAAGCGCTTGTTGGGTTTTTAAGCGCTAGTCGAGGCAAAATTTTTGCGTTTAAATGAATCGCTAGTCAGATTTATCGTTAATCGATGCAATCGCTGGTTGAGGGTCCACTGTATAAGTGAATTCACTTAAAGCGGAGCAAACCTATGCTTATTTTTCTTGCAGTATAGTGTATAGGAGAAATTTATGTGTGCAATACATATACAGCTTCTCACTTAATGACGGAGTTCTGTTCCTAAGACCACTTCGGTAAATAAATTTGTCGCTAAGCAAGGAGCATACTATAATGGTAGTGGGTTTGTGTCAACCATCTTTGATATTGTTTTAATGTCACATTTGTGCCATTTATAATATTTTTAGTATATTTTAAATGTTTATACAGTAGTGTACTGTACTTCCCATCTCCAGAACTGTAACATCCTCACTCATCCTTCAAGTGCAGGTCCTGTACTACCCACCTCCAGGACTCAAGTCTGGCTAACCAGTTTCCTTGATTACCTTCATAAATCTTACCTTGCTCACACTCCAACAGAACATCAAATATAAAAACCATTTGCCTATGTTCACTCTTATCTAATACTCTCAATAAACCTTGTAAATGAAAAGGTAAAATATACATTTTGTTCAGTGGATTTTGCCCATTTATTTTAAAAGGTGTATTGAGGTCCATTGTATTGAGGTCCATTGTATTGAGGTACAATATATCGAGGTACAATATATCAAGGTACAATATATCGAGGTACAATATATCGAGGTACATTATATCGAGGTACATTATATCGAGGTACATTATATCGAGGTACATTATATCAAGGAATTACTGTATTTTGATCATTGATTGTTTCAGATATTATTAGTTCTAAATCTATTTCTTGTTCTCTACAAAGTATCACAAAATACTGCAGATCGAGTCCCTGGGTCAGATGTTTCCATACCTGGAGGTGTTGATCCTAGCTGAGTGTCCTCTGGGCAGCCTCACCAAAGATGGTCATTATCGGGAAAATTTCCCAAATCTCAAGTACCTTTCCCTCAACAGCACCAAAATCTGCTCGTGGGATTCGGTAGATCTAGTCAACAAGTTTCCTAAGTTGACGGAATTGAGACTACAGCAATGCCCGCTGTATGAGGTAAGATGCCGTCTGTAAAGTTTGCTAGATACAATACTGGACAGGAAGACCCCCACTTATACAGCAGGTTAGGTTCTGGGTTACTGTAGGGCACAGCTTATACAGCAAGAAGGTTAGATTCTGTGTACTGTAGGGCACAGCTTATACAGCAGGTTAGATTCTGTGTACTGTAGGGCACAGCTTATACAGCAGGTTAGATTCTGTGTACTGTAGGGCACAGCTTATACAGCAGGTTAGATTCTGTGTACTGTAGGGCACAGCTTATACAGCAGGTTAGATTCTGTGTACTGTAGGGCACAGCTTATACAGCAGGTTAGATTCTGGGCTATTGTAGTGTCCCACTTATACAGCAGGTTAGGTTCCAGGGTACTGCTGTAAAGTGAAAATCGCTGTAAGGTGAAACATGGCTGTTTTTCACTTTAACCCTTTGACTGTCGCGGCCGTATATATACGTCTTACGTCCTGGTGTCGCAAAATTTAAAAAAAAAAAATATATTTTTTCTAATGAAATGATAGAGAATCTTTTCCCGATTGTAATGACACCAAAAAAACGAAATTTGATGGAAAACTGACGGAATTATGCTCTCGCGAAGTTAGCGACCTCGGCGCCGTTTACAAATCGGCGATTTCGCCCACTTTGAGCCCTATTTTTGGCTAATTCCATTGTTCCAGTCGCCCAAACTCATAGCTATTTCTTTAGAACTCCATTTTTTCTATCGATTGAGTACAAGAAACTGCCCATTTACCGATTTCAACTACCTAATAATGTGGTCAGAAATTTGCAATTTGGCCAATTTCACGAAAACTAAAAAATATGACAATTTCAAAATAAGGTCCAGAATGAACAATGCAGACATTCCTGGCTCTAAAATAACATTTTCTTTGCTCATCAGTCGTGTTTCCAGGCCCCTCTGATATTACTCTTGCTTTCTATTTTGAATTTTTATTCAAACAAAAAATTGAAGACTTACTATTATGCAGACTACTGCAATACTGTAATAATTGTATAAATAACATCAACCCATTCATGACTGCATATTAGAATGGCTAGTTGGACATTTGCTGGAAAATGGCATCATTTGCTTACTTTTGAACATTGGCAAAAATCAAACATTTCCCCTACTTTGAGCTCCATTTCTAGGTTCTTTTTATAGTAAAATCAATCAACATCATCTCTATTTCTATAATATGTCTTCCATTCTATCAAATGAGACCAACAAAACGAGAATACAACCATAAATACTATACGAAAATAGACCACAAAGTCGGCATTTTAATTAAAAAAAACGGTCGGATTTTTTTTTTCTCATTATGCACTGCGTACTCCAGGATTTTTTTTATATGGTGCACACTGACCACACAGACCCATTCTCTCACATGTAGGCCTACCAGCTTTCTCCTGCTTGATTTGAAGCCGCTAGAATTTATGAGTATATATACGTCAAACACGGTACCTCGTAAAACGTATATATACGGCCGCGACAGTCAAAGGGTTAAAATGCAGGTAAAAACCTGATAACATGTGTATACTATCATATATTAAGTGAGCAATAGAGCTAGGCCTAAAGAAATGCATATACAGTACACACATTACTTATTGTAACATATTTTTATCCTTAGCTTATACTGATTGGTGAATATATTTATTGTTAAGTGGGGCCTGCATTTATTTGATTGACCAAAGGGAAATGTAATGAGTGATATAAATTAAGTCTAAGAAATTGTTTATTACAGTAAAGGAGGAGTGAGGATATTTGCTGTTCGGAGGAGCATCTGAACTGTCGTATCTATGCACCTCTGGAAAGACAGTGATAGTGTGAATGATGGTGAAAGTGTTTCTTCTTTTTTTGGGTCACCCTGCCTCGGTGGGAGATGGCCGGCATGTTAAAAAATAAATTGTTTATCACACTCTTGGTTGTGGTATAAAAGAAATTCATAACCTTGTATCCAACAAAATTTTTAGGTTGTATAACCTACACCGTTTTATGTCTTCTTTCAACAAACTGGCCGTATCCCACCGAGGCAGGGTGACCCAAAAAGAAAAACAAAAGTTTCTCTTTTTCTTCTTTCAACGTACCAGCCGTATCCCACCGAGGCGGGGTGACCCAAAAGGAAAAACAAAAGTTTCTCCTTTTTAACTTTTGTAATATGTACAGGAGAAGGGGTTACTAGCCCCTTGGTCCCGGCATTTTAGTCGCCTCTTACGATATGCATGGCTTACGGAGGAAGAATTCTCTTCCACTTCCCCACGGAGACAGTTTTGTTTGTATTATTTATATCCAATAAGCCATGTTCCATCAGTCATGGTCTTGAACAAACTAGGCACAATCCCATGACTGGAACAATACACAAATAACCTGCACATAGGAGAGAGGAGCTTATTATGACGTTTTGGTCTGACTTGGACCATTTATGGTCTTATAAATGCACCAAAATTCATAGACGCCACTATATTACATATATCTGCACTTTAAAGGAGGGGTTTGGGATATTGGCAGTTTGGAGGGTCATCTAAACTGTCGTATCTGAGCGCCTCTGCAAAGACAGTGATTATGTATGAGTGATGATGAAAGTATTGAATGATGAGAGTTTTTTTTTTTTTTTTTTTTTTTTTTTTTGTCACCGTGCCTCGGTGGAAAGCGACCGATATGTTAAAAAAAAAAAATGATACTCTTATATTTATTTTATATGCTTCTGTTAACCTTTACTAAATGTTGTCTTGTTTTCTTCACTTCTGATATATGGTTTTATGAATGTTATTACCCCTTTACTGTTCAAGGGAACGAGCTCTTAATCCAAGGTATATAATCTACCCTTCAAGTATAATTGCTACCCATTCTCCAGGTGTTGCATAAGTCATGTGGGTTTACAGCTTTCCCCTTGAATATATGATACGATATTTCAGCATGATATAATGTTTGTACAGAGGTGAATAACGTACCTTACAATATACCATCGCAAAACTTTGTTGTTCCTTCCCTCAGGTGGGTGATCTTGTTACTGGTGTGGGGTATTTGATCCAAGGAATTGGACTTATCCACCCCTTCCTTGGATTGAACTTGATGTCTCTCATTTTCCAGGTTTTATAAGATTCCTATGGGTTTAACACTCATTATTGATGAAAAGTTAAAAGAATGCACTGTTCCTTTTCAAATACTTTTCTCGCATTAGTGAGCATAATTTGACATTATCAAGTACACG